CCTTCTGCTATCTCCCTTTCCAATCTTCTCTTGTTGCTGGGCTTCATCTCCTCGTGGCGGCAACTCCTCTCGTAACCAGCGTGCCCCAATATTGTTAGAAGCCCGTCTCGTAGATGCCCTCAACTCTGGTCCAAATTTCCTCTCCACTTGACGTCCCCACTGCTGGAGAGTCTCTGGGCAGAACCGTTCACCATGACCTAAGCGACCGCACACAAAACAAAAGGTGGGCAGCCTCTCATATGCAAAATCCACATGAAACCATTCCTCTCCTTCCCTCTTCAGTCGTGTCCCTTTCTTCAAAGGCTTCTGCACATCTAGCTTCACCCTTATTCTAAGATAGGAGGACCATGGGTTGCTAAAATTTTTAGGGTCTGCCTCAACAAACTGACCAATCTCATTCCCCAATCGTTGAGCCACTCTTTCCGAGAAGAAACCGCGTTTTAACCCATAGACTCGCACCCACACATAGAGATGATGCAGCGACACCTCGGAGGGATCTTGAGATCTACCCAGTCGTTCTAGGAGTAGCGCTTGGTTATTGAAAGACCACGGACACATCTCCATTACCCGCTCCATCTCTGCCAATGCACCAAATTGGAAGATATACAAACCTGCGCCCACTTCCTTCACCACCATTCCTTCCTCCGGACGCCACAGAGAAGCCATCGTATTCTTCATCGCCACAAAATTGACCGGACGCTCTGTAAGGAACCGGCCCACGAGGCAGAAATCGTAAGCCGGCTGCTGAATTGATGAGTCCCCAATTTCATCGCCAAAGACCAAACCATCTTCATCCTCGTTGTCCAGAGAAATCGCTGCTATACCATTATCAATATTGGTCGGATCCATTTAAAAACACCAGAGAATCAGTAGATTGAAAGTAGATTGAAGCAAGAGAAGAGAAAACCCTAGCCGACCGTCGAGAACTCCGGAAGTAGGAGACGAACTTTCTTTTTTAAGTTTTGTTAGATTCTTAATCTTGCAATTTGTTTGATTTCTTAGAACCCTTTGTGGTACTTGAGAAGTACCAAAATGAGATTGCGATGTTCAATATTGGGCCGGGGCTCATATTTTATAACCCAACATGCTACACCTATACCAAAAAATGTACTTCAAAATTACACTAAAAGTATATACTAACATTTTGATGATTCACACTGACATAAAATGATGGTGTGTTAACAAAAGTTTACACTAATATTTTGTGTTTGTGTGAACTATCAACATAGCATTACACTGACTTAAAATGAATGTGTAAACCTGTGGTGTACAAACCTAGGGTACAAATAGCTTAATCCCTTACAACCTAGTGAATTTTGGAACAAAAAGGATGAGCTTTATTTTCGAGGGTTTCTTTAAAAACAAATATTCGCATGAAGTGATCAACTCTTGATGGAGAGTTGATGAAGATAACAAATCTCAATGCGAGAACGTTTCATCAAACGAGTTAATACTTATTTTGATTTCGCTCACAAGTAAATGCTCAATTCTATAAATGCGCTCACGAGTAAATTAGGCACTTTAATAAAAAAAATGTGAATCAACTTAATTTTTTGAAAGAACTGTATCAGCTAAAATTTTGAATTCTCTCGCTAATTGATGCAAAACAATGATCTCGTATATTAGTATTTGTATCAATTAATGTAATACTTATAAATTTTAATAGATAATTTAATTCACATTTTGGTTATTTCATAATTAAATGAACTAACTTGACTCAATGGAAAATACAAAAACCAAACAGAGTATACACTCTAAAATAACACATGACCCCTACAGTGATCCGTTTCAAAAATTGATTGTTTTTACCCAAATGACCTCACCCCAATAGCCACTGCTCCTCCCCAAAATGTCAATTGACTACAGTACTATTGTAGTTAATCGGGCAATCAGCGTTTTGGGGAGGGTAGGGAGGCATAGGGACTGCATGGCTAGGGGTAGGAGGGCATGGAGGTTAGGAGAGATAGACACCGCAGACCATATTGTCATATTATGACAATAAGGGTTGGTGTGAAAGAGTGTTTCATACTTTCATGTAATACTAAGAAAAAAGATTTTGACATCCGAAATATAATACTCTTTCCTTAAATCATTTACACTTTACGCAAAATAAAGTAAAAATTCAAATTTTTTTCAATTCTTTTTATTTAAAGATTAGTATATAAATAAAAGTTTACATATTTAAAAAGTATATCAAAATTTATACAAAACAAGAGGTGAACAGAGTATTTTATTTCATTAAATAGTTAATGAAAATTAGGGGCGTGCATTATTCGGCCCAGGCCGAGACCGACCCGAAACTCGGTCAAAATAGGACCGGACAGGTCCCTTTCCAGGCTGGTCTTCGGTCCTCACTTTTTTCTTATTCGATCTTTGGTACGGTCCGATCCGCTCCAACAGGTTTCAGTCAGGACTGGTGGACCGGTCAAATTTATTATAGTAATAATTTTGTGCAATTGAATACTTTAAATTAAATAAAAAAAATATTTTTTTTAAAAAAAATTATATTTATTCAGTCCAGTCCCGGTCAGGTTCTTATCTTATTCGGTCTGGTCCTCGGTCCACGAAAGGTCCCTTATTCGGTCCCCTTCTGGTCCTGTGGTTAATAAAAACACACAAATAAACAAAAATTTCTACAAATTTTTTAAGGAAATTTTTTTCGTGAACCTAATATCCATACTCATTATATGGACCTTAGTAATTTGTAGTATAAAAGAAGAAAGTCTTTTAAAAAAGAAAAATATTCACATGCAAACTCATGAAAATGTGAGAAGGTCAACATTTTAAATATGGACGTTGTGCACTAAAATGGTATTTAGGAGTGATTAGCTTATGAATAAAGTTATTTCTACAAAAGTTGAAAATAAAAGCACCTCATAACTACTTATTTGTTGAGTAGACATAAAATATCCCAATTTGGTTCCATTTAAAGAAAAATGCATTTTTTTATCGAAGAAAAATGCATTAGAATACATTTAAGTTTAGTGTTTTGTTCCCAATTTGTTCGATTTTTTCTAGAATTGATACCCGAAGCAATGAATTTTTTTAAAGTGAAACTACTTATAAAATCTCGAACTTAATTTTCAATTTTAAATTTTAATTTTTAAATTTAAACTTAAATTTTAGATTCAAAATTTAAAAATAAAATTTAGAATTTAAAATATAAAATTGAAAAGTCAAAGCTATTTTAACATCAAATTAAAACTCATGCCAAGTTTTGTCAAAAAAAGTCATGTCAAGTCAGATCGAGAAATTTTAAAGACGGATGAAGTACAAGATTGTTTGTATCGACAAAATAAAAATGTTGAGTTAATCAGTTGTGGGGCAAGGAAGGCGTGGTGGGTGGTAAGGGGTTGGGTGGGTAAGAGGAAAAGGGGTATGAACCATGCTAAGGTGCCACCACATGGGTACTACCATAGGTGCACCCATGCTTCACATAGACAAACACAGACGATAATCGTCTGTGCGACACAGACAATTATCGTCTGTGTTTGTCTGTGTGAAGCATAGGTGCACTCATGGTAGCACCAATGTGGTGGCACCCTAGCATTTTCCAAAGGGGTATAGGGTGGATGGAGGTGGGGAGGGGTGGGGGCTGGATGGAACGAAAGAGAATAAAAATTTTCCTTCGAATTTTAGCGGAAATTATTTTCTCCCCGTTGTAGGAAAATATTTTTTCTGCAAACCATTTCTCTTCCTCTAATACCATCAAACACATGAAAATGAAATAAAAAATTTTCTTAGAAAATATTTTTCCTCCAACCAAACACACCATAAATAAAATGTAAACTTCTTTTGGGGACATCAAAACAAGGAAATCAAGATATATCTTTTACTGATGAAGATTGAAGAAGAATATATAATACCCCGGAGTACGAGTATTTGACTGTATAAACTTTTGAGTGATGTTTCCATGGTTCTACGATTCACATTTAAAATATGAGTCTTCTCACATTTTTTCATGGCTTTACATATGGATATTTTCTTTTTTTTTGCAAAAACCTACTTTTTTAGCTACAAATGAACTACGGTCCATAAAATGAACCTGAATCTGGTAAAAACAAAAAATTATTTTCTTCGGATCAATCAATCTGCCGTCCAAATCCCTGTAGAGTATCGCCCTATATTGTTACCCCAAATTCTGTGTTACAACAGAAAGATCATTTTACAATATGGAGACCTAACACAATTTTGCTTTCTTCCTCTCTTTGATTTACATTTATTCTTTCTTACACAATACACATACTGATAACCTGTGACATCTGCCCTCTAGTGTATAAATTCTTAGCTTGCATGTACCTCATGCATCACCTGTTGTACCATGCCCGGGGGGGGGGGGGGTTAGGGCATGTACCCTACATCCCTACTACATTCACATTGATGATTCTTGATCATGGACAGATGTCCCGCTCGAAGTACCTTCGGGAACGGAGAACGAATTTCTGCTACTACTGCTCGTGTTCTGCTTCTTCATTGAAGAAGATTCTGCAGTTGAGCACAGCTCTTCGTCCATCTTCGACACCTCCCCCTTTTCATTCTTCTTCTGGCGATGGAACTCGTCCCTTTCCACTCTTTCCTCTTCTTCAGTCTTTGGTCTCTTTTTATTCCCAATCCCATTACGGATGGACGGGACCTTCTGGTCACGAGACGAATTGCTAGGGCAAGTCGCGTTTGGGGCGACCAAATGCCCGTTGCAGTCCGAGTTCTCAAACACAACCTCATCATCTGCAATGGGATTATCTGCTGGTGCAGCAGCTTGCATTGTGGATATGGCTTCGGATAACCGTTCCCTTGCTAATTCCACGTCGATTATCGGCTTTGGATAGTTCAAACCTATTTCCAGACCAGCAGCTTTAAGCACGGCAGGAGGTGCATCCCAAGGGTGATGGATCCACTCTGTTGGTACTCTTGCTAGCTCAGGCAGCCATTGCCTCACATAATCACCATCTGGGTCAAATTTGAAACCCTGAACCTGAACCAGAATTAGCAAAAGGAGGCAAAAAGATTCAATTTTTACAATGTTTTTGGGTAAAGAATCAACTATATCAAAACAAAACGCGAAATTCTGTTAGAGAACAAAATCTTTTCTGACCAGAAAGCTCGAGTCTTTGGTTAACACAAGAGGAAATGAATCTAGCATATACCTCGGGGCAATCAAGGCGCTCAAGCTCATGACCATCGGGTAAGCTGCCAGATATATATTGCCATCCAAGAACATCACTTTCCAAGTCTGCATCAAGAAGAGTGTCCCAAAAATACTTCATCCCCCATTGCCATGGAAGCAGAAGAAACTTCACGGAGAAACTCGCAACGATGACTCTTATCTTATTATGAACCCATCCAGTAGCCCACATCTCTCTCATTCCTGCGTCGACTAACGGGTACCCGGTCTGACCCTGCCTCCAAGCCTTGAAACGGGTCTGGTCGGGCTTCCAAGGGAAATACTTCAAGTTGCTCAGCAATGACCTTTCATGAGTGAATGGAAAGTTGAAACAGATGTAGCGCGAATACTCTCGCAGCCCAATGGCTCTTAGGAACAGGCCTGCGCTTTCTTCTCCTTTTGAGTTCCCTTCTTTTGCCCAGACAAGACGTTTCATGTGCACGCGATGGAAAACCATTCTTGTGCTCAATTCTCCGTAATGGAGATGGGGAGATAAGAGTGAAGTGGAATTGGCTCCAACTCTATGGCGTTTTTCTGAGTAATTGAGCAAGTGATGCTCTACGAAATCGGCTAGTGCTCTATCGGCATTGCTCCATCCTGGTGACCATCCTCTTCCAAGTAAGGCATTGCTAGCCTTTTCGGTTTCATTCTCAAGACCCAAGTCTTCAATAGAGAACTTCTTGATTGAGCCTGTAAACATAACAATAAAATTAGAGTTTGCCAATGGAGTAACTCAACCAAAAGTTCATGCTGAGTAAGATTTGAACTCGTAAACTATAACCCAGTAAGGTTTTGATACCATGTTAAAAAAACAACTCAACAAATGATTGGTTGTAAGACCAAGAAAGGTATTATGAGCTAACAACCATGACGTACTTTGTAAATTCCCACAAAGTGGGATGTGAGAAGGGTGTGTTTACACAATGCCTACCCCTACATGGAGAGTAAAGAGACTGTATCTAAGAAACTCTCAACTCAAAACATAGAAGCACTACAACAAATGAAAGAAATTTTAAACTCTAATAGAGCTTCATATTTTGGTGTTTTTAGCCACATAAACATCTTCTCAAAAGCTTGTGATGCAGTTGAACTTTATGGTTCTATCCTAAAATTACTGAGATCATAGGAAGAGTAGCGCAAAACCTTATAAAAAAGTACCTTGAGCTTGCTCTAATTTCCATGGAGGAAGATGATGTGCCACGGGTTCTTTGGTCTGGTGCAAACACTTGTGCCAATATGCATCGAATTTCGTATAAGCTTTTCCATCGTCGTTATAAACTTCCCATGGTTCATTCAACAACTCAGCATTGTAGCTTTGCACACAATGCTCACACTCCCTCAGTTTTTGTTTGATCTCGTGATCACGCACGACGGAAATAGGATCTGACCAAATGAGATATGAGAATCAAATTGTTCAGTTATAGACCCTGAAAAAAGAGAGGGGATGGGATATACCATAGAGATGATTAAAGACAAGTTTTGTTGCATGAACAGCAGAGATGATTTGCAAGAGGGCATTAAGGGTACTGTCAGTCCTTATGAGAGTCAGTTCAGCTCCAAGGGATCTCAAAGACTGGTCCAAATGAATGAGTGACTGTTTCAGCCACCACCTTGAGACTCTTCCAGGGTAGAACTGCCCTTCTTCTTTAGGGCACCATATGAAGACTGGGAAAATCCTCCCCTCCCTAGCTGCAGTAGCTAAAGCTGGGTTGTCCTCAACCCTCAAATCCCTCCTAAACCACACAATCGTCCTACATCTGCCATCATCCATGCTAACAAATCCTCTCCTTTTATTTCTCTTCTTCTTTTTCCAAGAATCCAACTACAAATTACAGAATTATAAATACCCATAGATTTTTATGAGCATCATTTGAGCAGCCCAAAACCTTAGAAGAAATCCCAAAAAAATCCCATACATTTATGGCCAAAACCCTACCAAGAGGCAATGAGATCCAGCTTTTTTTCAAGAAACCCATCATCCCGCGCCGCAAGACAAAATCCCAGAATAAAAGGCTGAATGGGATAGGGAGAAAAAATCAAATCTTTTTCATAAAGAAATACGGAGTAGTTTTCACTGAATAAAGAAAAGAAAATCTAAGATGGGGCATTCATATTTGCTGGATTCTTTATCAGTGAGGGGCAGAGAGATTAGCCTTCACGTGAGCAACTGGGCAGTACCAGCTAGCAAGACAATAAACAAAGGAACATCAAATACGGAGTATTAAATAATCTTATCCACTGACCACTTTTCCCATAAATAAAAAAAAAGATGAACTCTATCCCAATTCCCAAGGGTCTTCTCAGAACCGGCAGGACGGTCATTGATGACAAAGAGTTGTGATTGCACCAAGTACTAACATAGTTATCTCCCAACATTATTGCCAAGAATCGAACTCAAGTATTACCCATTAAATTTATTACACCTTATACTTTACTAACTTTAAGTTGTATGTTGTTCGTTTGATCTGATTTTTTAGGCTGTGATTTGATCTGATTTTATTAGATCCAATATGATTTGATATAATCAAATTTAATTGGGTCTAATCTGATCTGATTGGATCCGATTTAATTGAGATACAGAAAACTTACATTCTCATTCCAAAACTTACACCTGATCGAAGTATTTTTGATGAATGTGTCAAATTGGTTTGGTGAAACGGAAAAAATCCATATAAACCCATGTTTTCATGTAAGAATCATTAGTGAAAGTGTCAAATTGTTTGCCATGAAGAATGAAACCAATGAGATCATTTCAACAAAAAGGTCTAAACTTGAGATTTATCAATTCTGTCATATGTGGGGATCCTTTGAGATGGTTTGATGAGAGGTCCAAAGATTCATATTTTTAAACTAATTTTTTGTAAAGGAGCACCTCATAATTCACACAATCACACTTATGATACACAAATTTTGGCAATTTTTTTTACAAGCAAGACAAAGATACTAGAACTGAAATCATTGATGATACTTAATAAACAAGGTTTCTCAATAGGCTTCAAACAAGTGAAAGTGTGATTGGTTTTTGCCCCAATTGAGAAGAACATATAAGCTTATTCTTGGAACAGTGATAACTATGCTTTACATTCTGATCCAAGCATGTTTTTTATATGTATTTCAAGTAGCGATAAATACGTATACTGATTCTGTCGATGAATTGATTGAACCAAAACGGTTTTCCCGTGGTGCACATAAGATAACCCAAGCTCAGTCCGAACACTAGCCCGCATCCATACCCTGTCACTAGAGGAAATTTCCAACTGGTTGATGATCTTCCAAGTTCTTGGGGAGGTGGAGGAGGTTCTAATTTCTCATCATAACCAACGCACCGTTTCGCAAGTGGAAGTCCACACAAACCAATGTTTCCAATGTAAGAATCATTGGTGAAAGTGTCAAATTGTTTGCCATGAGGAATGAGACCGGTGAGATCATTCCAAGAAAGGTCTAAAACCTCCAAGAACTCAAGATTTACGAGTTCTGTAGGGATCCTCCCATTGAGTTGGTTTGATGAGAGGTCCAAAGACTCGAGCTCTGCAATGTGACTCAAGGATGAAGGGATTTGGCCTGTGAGACAATTGTGGGACAGATTTAGGACTATGAGTGACCCAAGTTTTCCTAGTACCTCGGGTATCCATTGGTCGAAACGATTCATGGAAAAGTCAATCACAGTGAGAGTGGTTGGGATGTCAAAATACTTCAGCTTCAACCCTTTGGTGAAAACGTAAATCAGCTGCTCCGTGTACGTCCCCCACGGGTACGGCTCATCAACCATGTAGTTCGGGTTATAGCCAATGCCATGGACGACTGCACCCAGGTTTGCAAAGAGGTTGGTGGGCAGGCAGCCATTGAAGTGGTTGTTGGACAGGTCTAGAATCTGCAAATGGTGGAAAGAGATTTGGAGCTTTGGGTTGTCATCAACAATGGGGCCATGGAATCTGTTGGATCTCAGGGAGAGAATCTGCAGCTTGTTTAGACCAGCTAGCCAGTGAGGGAAGGTGTCTTGGAACATGTTGCTTCCCAAATCAATGACCTGAAAGTCTTTGCAGTTGGCTAGAGAATGTGGCAATGGTCCTTCAAACTTGTTGCTGTTCAGGCGCAGGCCTCTCAGCACACAGGTTTTAGGGAAAAGGGTGTCTGGTATTTTACCCCAAAGATTATTTACATAAAGGTTCAGGTGGGTAAGGGTGGAGTTTAAGTTTCCCAAACAATGAGGAATGGTTCCACTCAAGTGATTCTCTGACAAGTATAACACATTCATCATGCTCATGTTGCACATTGACCAAGGAATTCCTCCCATGAAGTTGTTCTCTGATATATCCAACAAAACCATTTGAGGTGGCATGGTTGGAATCAAGCCTAAAATCAAATTTAGCATGTATCATTAGATATTCATTCCATGCATGCATGATCTTGACGGGATGATAGATTTTGTATTTTAGTCAGCTTCTATATTTGATTGATCGATATGTTTGGAATCCATTCGTTATATTTTGAGATGTATCTTCTACTCCCTCCGCCCCTTAAAAACATGGAAAATTTTGATTTTTAAGGAATTTAAGGGGAGTGTATTTAGTGTTGAGTTTCTGAAAATGCTCTTGGATGTAATGGTTAAAAGTAGAATTTGATAGATATAGTAATAGTGAATAGATGTGATGTGATAGGTCAGTTAAAGATTAGTAGGGGTAAAAGTGACCTTTTAATATAAATGAGAAAACGTTTTTGGGACAGATGAAAAAAGAAAGGAAAAAGGTTTTCAAGGACGAAATGAGTATTATACAATAGATATATACCAGTATATATATATATATATATATATATATATATATATATAATTAAATTGATTATGTGCAATAATTTTGAGCATAAATGAGTAGTAGGGATTATAAATTTGGTTTGATTAATTTATTTTCCCGAGAAAATTGTTAGATTACAAAATCTCTCGTCTAACTCCTAAGCTTATAATCACAAGATTGAGTTTTTGGTTGAGGTTATCGAAGGCGTCTTATATTATACGGAGTAAAAAAATTTCTTAAACTATAATCATAAGTTTGAACTTTTGGTTGATTAAGTTTCTTTTTATATTTGATTGATCAATTAATCAAATAAAAAAATGAGATCAATATCTTGACAAATTTACCAGAGAGGTTATTGTTGTAGACATCCAAGAATATGAGGGAAGTCAAGTTGCCCACTTCCGACGGGATACCCCCTTCCAATTGGTTGTAATGCAAGACCGCATATTTCAATCCACTGCATTTGAACAAACTCTTTGGAATTGTTCCAGAAATTCGATTATTACCCAAGTTTAACTTCGATAGATGAGGCAGGTGACCAAATATTTGTGATGCCAATGAACCTGCATTCCTAGAATTAATCAAATGACACTTAATTTCTACTTAATTTCTGTACTACTTTATAGTAACAAATTCTCCCCTTCTCTCCTAAAATCCTCCCCTTCATATGTTGAAACTAGACCTGTGCAAACAAGGGTCGGCCTGTTTGGCCCGCTCAGCCCGCCCTTTAAAAAAGGCGATATGGACAACCTTTAATATCCACATGAGCGGGCTGGCCCGAGCCTGTTTTGTATTTGGGCGGATCTGGAAGTTACTTTTAGCCCATCCGGGCCAACATGCCCTCCCATATTCATCAAAACTATTTACTTTATTATTAATTATCTAGCCAATATAATTTAGAAAAATTGTTATAGTTCATGTATAATTGTTCAATTCACTCACATCTCTTAAATAAAAATCAATATTCTTTTAATTAATTATTATGATGGGTTTATTAATTATGCAACAATACCTCTATTATGCTTTCTATGTAAATTTGGCGAGTGGTGATTTCATTTTAAACATTGAAAAAAGAGTACAATGTTTTTTTGAATATTTTGTGCAAAAAAGAATTTTCTTGGTGTTTTATCCGGGTCGGGCGGCCCAGTGGGTAGTTCGGCCCGCTAAGGTGGGCGGGTATGGGTAAAGAGTTTAGCCCATCAAATGCGGGCTAGGCTAATAATTTGTATCCAGCCCGGCCCAGATCCAGCCCGAATCCTTATTTGCACATGTCTAATTGAAGCTCAGTGGTGTTTCTCTATGTTTATAATATGCTCAAAACTGCTTATAAACTCAGTAGTGTTTATCTAGCTTTTTTTATAAAAATTATATTGGCATATCAGCTTTTTAATATACATATGTTGAAATTTCATGTGTTTTTTATGCTTATAAACTAATTAAAACTACTAATAATCAGCTTTAACTTATATTTGAGTTAATTTCGTGTGTTTTTTTATGCTTCAAAAAATAAGAATAAATCACTGATTTACAAAATAAATATATACTCGGCACCAATTATAATTTAATTGAATGGGGTTAAGGATCCTTTTAATCTCACCTTCCAAATCATTTCCATCTAAAAACAAAGTCTCCAGTTTGGTCAAATTCCCCAGAGCAGGCGGAATCACTCCGGTGAAGCCATTGTTGCTCAACGACAAGTTCCGGAGCTGCGGGAAGGCGCCGATCCACGGCGGGATTTCGCCGCGAAATCCGTTGTTTCCCAGGTTGAGGTGCTTCAGCCGGCGCAACCGAGCCAACTCGGCGGGCACGGAGCCATTGAAGCGGTTGGAGCGGAGGTCGAGGCGGGCGAGGAAGGACAGGTTCCCCAAGTGGGGCTGGAGGGTACCCGTGAGGTTCATGTGGGACAAGTTAAGGGCAGTGACCCTTTGGTGCTTGGAGCCACAGGTTACCCCGACCCAGTGGCATGGGGAGGTGGTTTGGGACCAGTTGGCTGCCAGGAGGTTTGTAGGGTCTTGGGTGATGTGGACTTTTAGAGCAAGAAGGGCAATTTGGTCTGTGGTGATGTTTTTGTGGGGAATCAATAGGGGAGTTGCCCTTAAGAAGGGCAATAGAATCACTGCCATTAGAGGCAGCAGTCCTATGAAGCCTGGTTTTCTCATCAGGGTTTTTTTTTTTGTTTTTGAGAGTAAGGTAGTTTGTTAGTTGTGTTGGAAATGGTGGTACTTGTAGTGATGTAACCATTGAATACTCTCTTCGTCCATAAATAAACTTCTCGTTCATTTTTTGTAGGGTCAAACTTTATTCATTTTGTTGGCTTATTTTCGTTACCAATTTAATAAAATAACATAGTCATGTCACCTCTAGATTTGTAGATTTTTTGATATAGTTTTTTAATATGTAATTCTTATTTTTAAATTTTACACTGTTTTTCATATAAAATAATTTAAAAATAACTTCAGTAAAAATCATAACACGTAACGGAAAGATTATTTGTATAGGGATGGAGTATTTCTTTCTTTTGAGCAATTCTTGCATTTATCCTAGACAGTTGGGTAGGCACTAGGCATTGATTGTTGGACATTGATACATGTTTCCTCCCTCCTAAAAACAAATTTTAATTTTATATCATCAACATTCTTTTTTCGTTAAAATTTAAATCTATTCAAATTGATGATTCTTACCTCTTCCATTCTCCGGATAATCCCCTTTGCCACACTTTTGAAAGTTATGAGAGTATTGTTGCAAATTTTAAAGTTCAGAAGAATTTGTGTCATTTTTGAAAAGTTTAGGAGTAATGACGCAAAAAAATCATTTACTTTTAAAAAATACGAAAAGAAAAAACATAACTTAAAGGAAAAATTATCTAGAATAATCACAATTTTATCCGTTCTTTCGAAAATAATCTCATCATTCAATGTGATGCATAATAATCTCATCTTTACTGAAATTTGTAAGTTTTGGGTTGTTGTTAAGCTATTAACGGCTAGTTAACGAAAATGGTCCGTTTTGTGCAACAAAAGAAACATTAGGATTATTTATGATAAATTTTGATTTTTTAATTTGTTTTTTGAAATTTCCTCTTAAATTCTTGAAATGACTTTTGAGTGCTGTCAATTTTTAAAGATTAGTCATACCAGAGAAAACAATAAAGATAGATATAAAAAATAACGAAAATAAGAAAAAAAAACTACAATCGTACAAATACAATGAAATAAATAAAGTAATCAATAAAAACTAAACTCAAACTGATATGAAATAAAAATAAAAATATATGCAGTGATATCTTCAATCTAACATTTTACGCACAATACAGAGTATCAATATGAAAATAAATATAAAAATAAAAATAAAAAAATTTCTTATTAAAATCCTAACAAAATATTATTTTAAAAAAACTAAAATAAAATTATGTTCAAGGAAATAATTTTTTTGTTTATTACTCCGGGATACAACATTTCTGTTTTGGCACAACACCATCGCCATCCTAATAGATATACGGAGTACTCCGTATTTAATTTTCAAGACTGGCTCATTCATGTGTATTGGTCAAATAGTGTTTGTGTTTGACCAGTTCTTGAGCTTCTTCATTCTTAAAAACATTTACTGTAATGATTTTTTATGAAATATTTGCACTAAATATCACTAAAAATTAAGTCATTTCCCTAAATAGCATTAAACTGTTTTATTTCCTAAATAACACTTAATAATGTCCATAATGTCTAGTGATGCCGAATATTTGCTTGAATAATGACTAATGTATAATGACTAAAAGTGCTTCATTGGGAAGAAAAACACATGTGGTGCTATTTAGAGAATGTCATTATGTTTTAGTGCTATTTAAGTAAATTTCTCTTTTTTTATCAAACAATGATACTATTTGACTATAAATTACATACTCCCTCCGTCCATAAATAAACTTTACATTACGCGTTACGATGTTTGACTGAAATTATTTTGTGGGGAGCTTACGGTGGGGTTGGGGTGCGGGTGCAGGGGTGGGGGGTTTAGGGGGTGAGTTAGGGGGGTAGGAAACGTCAATTTTACGAACAGAGCACCGGAGGTGCTCCAAAAATGCAGTGGCACCGGAGTGGCACCGTTCTCCAGTGTCACTAGAACTGGACCGTTTTAAATAAATAAATTTTATTTTTTAATTCTACACCAATTTTTAAATAAGATAAATTAAAAATAATTTCGGTGAAACATCGTAAACAATAAGAGACGATTTAAATTTGAATTGAGGGAATACCCCGGAGTACAAAGTACCAAATGTGTACCCCATTTCTCCCCCACCCCCTCCTTGTCCACAAAAAAAAGGCAAGAAATTCAAAAAAATGAATAAATAAAAATAAAATAAAAATGGATGATGGAGAAGGGGGTGGTGTAATAATAATAATAAAGTTAGAAAAAATTAGAAAATACTGAAAAAAAATTGCAAAAGCCGTAAAAAAAAATTTGAAAGTAGTAAAAGCCAAAAATCAAACGAGGCCCAGAAAACAAGTGGGAGAAATTACGCCAGAGGGAAGGATTTTAGCTTCAAATTCCCAATTGGGAAGAACGGGATATCAAATCCCGATTTTTCACTTCTCAATTTTTTTTTAGTTTTCGGGTTTACAAATCCCGATTTTTAAAAGTAAATAATTATGGAATTTTTTCACGTTTACACATCCCGATTTTTTAAAGTAAATAATTATGGAATTTGCATGGCCAATTAAAAAACCGTAAGTGAAGTACATATATTTTTTTGTTTGCCTTTTTAGTATTTTAGAATCCTGATTATTTTAAATAATACAAATAATTACTAATTTTGCATGGGAGGTGTATAATTACTAATATAAACATTTAAAATCTAAAAAACTGAACAAAAATTGAAGTTTTTGATAACAAAAAATAATGAAAGAAATATTTTATTGAACAAGATACATCCAACAAAAAGACCAAAAAAGTTACATTAAGTGTGGTAGATGTATATATTCATCCTCCTCTAGTAGCTCTTCGATCCATCTCACCAATAAACCGGTTACGCTTACGTCTTCTTGAACGTGGAATCTCTCCATCCGGCCTTATTAGTGGATTGACACGAAAGTCACCAATATCTAAATTGGGTTGAAAAACAACTGGATGAATCACTCCACTATAACACTGTAGATAATTTTGAACGGGATATACCGGTGGGATGAGACTGTCAGCAACTTGACGTTGAGAGTGGAAAACAGCATGAACATGAACACATGGGACTGCATCGGAAGACCATCGGCCACAAGTGCAAATTCTATTCTCGAGATCCACCATGTAGCTATAGATAGATGATGGATCTGTTCGAGAAGTATGACTAGTAACATATTGGTTGTTGCCATAGTCTGCAACAACCCACTTATGTTTTGTTCGCTCACGACTTCGTAAGATGTTCGTAGTTTTCGGAGTGATGCGAAAATTTTTTTGTTGCCAATTGAGTGCAGTCTTGTGCCGTTTTGCAAAAGATTCAACCATTTTGCTATAAGACATACTCAAAATGGCAGTGACCGGTAACATCCGACAACCCATAAGCATATTATTAAAACTCTCTGAACTATTGGTTGTCAAAATCCCACATCTAAAACCACCATCATAAGATAGAGCCCACACTTTACGTGAAATATCATTCAAGTAGAGATATGCCTCTTCACTGACATTTCGTATTTCTCCCATATATCCCTGAAATGATACATACTTGCAAAGAACGAATAACCCTTTGAACGAGCAACCTCAAAGAACAAATCCCACGAGAGATTACTATCGATACCCATCAATCTCGTAGAATATGCATTACCAACAATGTATGGAATTTTCCCAGATATTTTAGAAATGGGACCATTTCCATCTGCAATAAAATGAGATTCAATTTGTTTAATGTATAACATATTTTTACGAATAAAATAAATGTGAATTGAGTGTAGGGAATAAAAAATATAATATATTAAATATAAAAGAGTACATAAATCCACATTAATGTAAAACAACATCTCGCAATAAATAAAAAGAAAATAAAAATTGTCACATAAACATATCACATAAAGATTAAACATTATCAGAAAACCAAGATGTAAAGTCGTCGAAACCATCAATGGGCAACCCCATAAGACACTCTACATCTTGTAAAGTTATACACATATCTCCAAATGGGAAATGAAATGCATGTACCTCAAGCCTCCAACGCTCCATCAATGCAGTGATGAGGCCATGATCTAATTTAATGGGATGAACTCGGTGGACCCCATAAAATCCAGCTCTACGTAAATTCTCAATAACCCTTGGGTCTGTAAAATTTGTAGGGATATGACCATCATACCGACACGGTTCTACTTTTACATCAATATATGTCGGGTCATTCCAAATACGGAGAGAACGATGAGCCGCTTGTAAATTTAATATTTCTAAACTTTTTGGTCCAGCGAGATCTCTTTGCACTTCATCCATCACACTAATACATATAAAATAAGTTATTTGTTAAATACAACTTCTGTCACTTTTTTTCTACTTTATCATATTCTCACTTATTTTTATTTTTTGAAATCATTTAATTTATAAATTGGTATATTAATAAGAAATAAAAATTTCTAATTAAAAAACTACGTCAAAAGTTCTAAAAGACAAGAGGTGACAATAATCTTTTATTTTATCAAATAATTAATGAATTGCATAATTAAACTTAAGTTATCGAAAAAAAGAAAAAAGAATTGTAATAGAAATGGGAATGGAGGGACTTTTTAATAATTAAATAGCTAATGAAACAAAAAAAAGATAAGTAAAACACTACATACCTTCTAAAAGAAGAAGATCTTCTTTTACTCTTTTGGATTCCTAAATCTTGTAATCTAAAATATATATTTTTTGGCTATATTATCATATATAGAGAGTTGTAGAGGAACAAGACTTAAATGAAAAAAGAACCCATACTTTTCTATATAAGTATGGAAAAAGTGAAAAACTTTTTCAGAAAAATTGGGACGTTGAATCCTGTTTTTTAAAAAAAAAACTTTTTCTGGATATTGAATCCCAATCTTCCCTCTCAGGAATTCAATACAATCAGGAATTTATTCCCAACGGGAAACTACCCAAACAAGTGGACGGCGGCCTTTTTCAGATCTTATCCATCCAACCAAAACCCGGTTTCTTGAGTCCTTCGATGCCACAGCTGTTCGGGCGCAATAATTCAAATTACAGTTTAATCCGCCGCGAAAATGGAGCTCCATGGTACAACCGTTTATAGCGCATATCGAAATTATCACTGATTTAATTTATTCATCCCTTTGATTTCAATCTCCTTTTCTGCGATTTTCTGGATTAGGGCACAGAGGTTCAAACCCTAAAGCGGCGCTTTCTTCAATCTTAAACAAGAAGCAGAAGCTTCAAGAAGAGCTCCGGAAGGTTGAGAAACAGGTTAAAATCTCACTCTTGAATGAATTTGTGAGGCTCTGTTTGTTGATGTTTTCTTCTTTGATGATTTTATGACTGGAGTTTTGCTATGTTGACTTCTTGTTGTTTCAATTTTTAGTTTTTTGCGTCATTTACTATGGAACTTTTTAGAAATTGTGCGGATTCAACTTGAACTTTAAAAATTGCACCAATGCTCCGTGAAGTTTTAAAAATGTTGCACCAATGGTCCCTATCCGTCAGATTTGGGAGCCTATTAATCACACGCTCATCCAGTGCAGGTATAGATTCATCTAAAGTCATATATTGCACGTGAGTTCTGCGATATGCCATTTCCAAACACTACCTTTTACGGAGTATATTTTTAACTGCTTGAAATCCTAGATAATTATTCTCCACTTAGTCGTCGGTAACCGAATTCGTTTGCCGGACTTGAGTCGATAAAATTGGTCATCAAGCGATTTAACCTCTTTGTCAATCAATGACATCTTCGTCAAGCTCCAACACGTATTTTGGTGAATGTTTAATTAATGCACTCTGGAATCTGGAACAGAGGGGCCATTGGTGGAAATTTTAAAGTTTACGGTGAATCCGTGCAACTTTTGAAAAGGTCAGGGGGAAATGACGCAAAAAGCTCTATTGCCAAATGGATACTAGCAGGATGCTGGATTTATGGTTATTTGCTGTTGCAGGTATATGACTTAGAGACAAGTTATCTGCAAGAAAGTGGAACCTTTGGGAATGCATTAAGAGGCTTTGAAGGGTTTCTATCTTCCTCAAATAAAAATTCAAAGTATGGGATTCTCGTTCAATCATCCACTTAGATGCTTCATTTTCAATGTGTAGAGCTAACTTATGCTCATGTCTTTTGAAAGATTATTGTCATTTTATTTTTGCTTTTTAAATGTGGTTTATGTTTTCTTGATTTTGCGGATATTATGTTGCTTTGATTAGTTAACTTGTTCTGATACGATTTAAGTATTTACCAGCCTGAAGAGATCAAGAAAATTTCAACTTGAAGATAGATTATTTTCGCTCTCCTCAGTGACTTCACCTGCGGTAGGCATTCCATTCTATATATACGGAGTATCAGTTTTTATACGTCATGAGTTTTTTTTCCCCTAGTTTTACAGCGAACCAAGTCTTGTAAATCCCGAGTAACATCCGTGATCTGCCGTAAGGCAAATTTGAATAGCAACTCAGCTGAATTTTAATTCTTCTATTTGGGATAATGCTCAGTTCTGTGACTTTTGTCATTTAAATGGTTAGCATAGGTGCCTATAAAACACAGAGAGTTTGTTTCTATTAGACCCAAGATGATTATAAGTTAACCCATGAGCATTATTATTATTATTATTATTATTATTATTATTATTATTATTATTATTATTATTACTCCCTCCGTCCACAAATAAACTTTACGTTCACTATTCACGGGGTCAAACTTTATTCACTTTGTTGGCCTTTTTCGTCACTCATTTGATAAAATAATATAGTCATGTCACCTCTAGACCTCTAGCTTTGTAGATCTTTTGATATAGTTTTTTAATATGTAATTTTTATTTTTCAATTCTACACCATTTTTCATATAAAATGATTTGAAAATAACTTCAGTCAAACATCGTAACGCGTAATGTAAAGTTTATTTGTGGACGGAGGGAGTATTATTATTATTATTATTATTATTATTATTATTATTATTATTATTATTATTACTCCTCCATATTATTTTGCTGATTTGGGGTACACCATGGGGCCTATGACTTGACCATTAGTCCTTTTTTTAACAATAATATGCATAAATATTTCTAAAAACTATAGTTATGCTCCCTTTATTCTCAAATAATCTGTATCCACTGTCACTTTATACTCCAGTACTTAAAATAACAAAAATAAATTCAGTAAAATCCCATGAAAATAGGGTCTGGAGAGGGTGTGTGTTCGCAGACCTACCTCTACTGAGAAGTAGAGATGTTGTTTCCAACACCCGACTCAAACTAGGCCCAAATTAGAGAAAGCACACATTCACAAGCTACATACTAAGGTAAAAACGCACCCGCATAGAGTACAAACTAAGGCCCAAAGGTCTAATCGAATCCTAGATCTCTACACGTTCCTATCTAAAGTTATACCCTCGGTAAGATCCTGAAATTGTAAGTATGTCTAATCACCTCCTTCCAACTCTTCCTAGGTCTACCTCTACCCTTTCATTGCATGAATTGGACCTTGTTATCGGGGGGCCTTTGTTAGTGAGCTTGATGTTGCGCTTCTCTTCCCTTTTGTCAGGCTGAAGAACTTGGACTGAGACGAGAAGGTTAGTCTTTAGGCGATTCTGTTTAGTACAAGCATTTGTTCGTAGCCATTTTATGTCCAGTTACTTTAAAATGTGTCGAGATTTACGATTATTTGATGATTGATTAATCGCTTTTTTGCTGCATATTCATAGATGGAAAACTGGATCACAGCCAAGGTCGTTCCAAGGCTGGAGGCATAACAATAAATGGACCGTAAGTGCATCATTCATTCATTCGTGAATATCTCGAATTACATATTACTTGGAAATATTACAGCCCCCCAAGCATGCCCCCACACTTCTTTCCTTCATGCTTTCAGTGGCATAAGCATGTTGCCTATGCCTGAACAAAAAGGAGTTGGGGGCACACGTGAAAGTAGACTTGACAAAAACTGGTGTGACCTGTTTTGACCCGACCCGTGCCGAAAAATATTAGGTTTTAAACAAAGGTTTTGTTCACCAATCTCAAAGATGATTGAATCTGTAATGACTTATTAAAATAAGTCAAATTCGATCGAAACAAACTAAAGGAAAGTTTTTAAAATCACGTACTTTAGTATAAAATATATAGCGATAATAATCAATGTAATTATTTTTGTTTTTTAATCTATTTTATACTATACAACTCTATTGACACTACATAAATTTCAAATAGAATCTTATCAACTAAAATCCACTGTAGAATTGTAAGATATTACTACGTAACATGTAGATCATACTAAAAATGTAAGATATTACTACACAATTACACTTATGATACACAAGTTTTGGCTTTTTTTACAAGTAATACAATTATACTAGAACTGAAATCATTGGTGATAGTTAATACACAGGGTTTCTCAAAAATAGGCATCAAACAAGTGAAAGTGTGATTGGTTTTTGCCCCAATTGAGAAGAACATATAAGCTTATTCTGGGAATAATGATATCCATGCTTTATATTCTGATCCATTGCATATTTTTTATATGTATTTCAAGTAATGATAAATACGTATACCGACTCTGTCGATGAATTGATTGAACCAGAACGGTTTTCCCGTTGTGCACATAAGATAACCCAAACTCAGTCCGAACACTAGCCCGCATCCATATCCTGTCAATAGAGGAAATTTCCAACTGGTTGATGATCTTCCAAGTTCTTGGGGAGGTGGAGGAGGTTCTAAACTCTCATCATAATCAACGCACCGTTTTGCAAGTGGAAATCCACATAAACCAATGTTTCCAACGTAAGAATCATTGGTGAAAGTGTCAAATTGTTTGCCATGAGGAATGAGACCAGTGAGATCATTCCATGAAAGGTCTAAAACCTCCAAGAACTTGAGATTTACGAGTTCTGTGGGGATCCTTCCATTGAGTTTGTTTGAGGAGAGGTCCAAAGACTCGAGCTCTGCAATGTGACTCAAGGATGAAGGAATTTGGCCCGTGAGACAATTGTGGGACAGATTGAGGACTATGAGTGACCCAAGTTTTCCTAGTATCTCGGGTATCCCTTTGTTGAACCGATTCTGCGATAAGTCAATCACTGTTAGAGTTGTTGGAATCTCAAAGTACTTCAACTTCAACCCTTTCATGATGATGTAAATCAGTTCCTCTGTATATGTGCCCCACGCATACGGCTCGTCAACCATGTAGTTCTCGTTGTAACCAACTCCATTGATGATTGCATCCAAGTTCTCAAAGAGATTAGTGGGCAAGCGGCCAGTGAAGTGGTTGTTGGATAGGTCTAAAATCTGCAAATGCTGGAAAGAGATTTGGAGCATTGAGTTGTTATCAATGGTGCCATGGAATCTGTTGGATCTTAGGGAAAGAATCTGTAGCTTCTTTAGATCACCAAGCCAGTGAGGGAAGGTATCTTGGAACATATTGTTTCCCAAATCAATGACCTGAAAATCTTTGCAATTGGTGAAAGATTGTGGCAATTGCCCTTCAAAGTGATTGTTGTTGATGCGCAAACCTTTTAGTGCACAGGTTTTTCCGAAAAGGGTATCTGGTATTTTACCCCAAAGATTGTTCATGTAAAGATTCAAGTGGGTTAGGGTGGAGTTAATGTTTCCAAAACATGGAGGAATAGTTCCACTCAAATTATTCTCAGACAAGTCTAACACATTAATCATGCTCATATTGCACATTGACCAAGGGATTTCTCCATACAATTTGTTCTCTGATACATCCAACAGAAGCAATTGAGGTGGCATGGTTGGAATCCCACCTAAAATCAAATGAGCATAATTAGATTTTCATTCATTTACAATATGTTTCGTTCAAAGAATTTAATAGAGAGAAGAAAAGAAAATGAGAGAGAAAACAAAATAGTGTTTCTTGGCCAAAAACCCCTTTTTAAAACTGATCGAGACCTTAGTTTCGGTTGACAAGAAAAAACCCGAGAAACAATTGTTCATATTGAACAATCCATTATGACTTGGTCTTTTGGCTTCTAAGCTGAAAACTGATACGAAGTAAAATTTAAGATGGGGTACAGTAAGGGTTATTGGACTGTATTATAAGACGCTTGGTCTAAAGTACATTAAAAGATTGAATCCAATCGATTACTTAGTTCAACTCAAGAGAATAACCTCCTAACGCTTCCCCACAAGTGGACAATTGGGTCATTTTGAACCTAACTAATTTACCACTCGCAAATGCTTTCAAATCTCCCAGTTTTTTAGCGTCAACACCTAAATGACCACGAGTCATTGGGTATGGACTTCCAGTCTTTTCAAACGAGCTATGATATCATAAAAAAATTCCGTGCATGTGTGACACTTTGAGCATTGCACGTGAAACTTTCATTTTTTTTAAAAAATCAGGGTGGCGTTGAGTTTCAAAAAATGGAATCTCTTAATCAAGAACATTCTGATACCATGTCAAGGAATCAACCCAACCAAAAGTTCAAGTTTGTGATTGTAGCCCAGTAACTTTTTTTTTATATTCTAACACTCCAACCGATTACATAAATCAACTCAAAAGTTTGTTATTGCGCCGTATTATTTATTAATTAAAGTGATTATGTCAATAATATGGAGTATAAATCATTGCACTTAACTTATTTTCCCCAAGAAATTCACTTTTTTTTTGGATTATCTTTGATTAAGCATTTCATCATAGAGTACAAGAAAAGCAATCCAATGTCCAAAGTCCAAACTGATTTACCTGAAAGGTTATTGTTGTAGAGATCCATGGTTATAAGGGAAGTCAAGTTGCCAACTTCTAATGGGATCGTCCCTTCCAATTCATTGTAATTCAAATTGATGTTTCTGATTCGGTTGCATTTGAATAAACTCCTAGGAATTGTACCAGAAATTTTGTTCTTACCCAAATTTAAGAACAATAATTGAGAGAGGCCATCAAATATTTCTGATGAAAGAGAGCCTGCACTGCAGCACCCCCCACAAAAATTAGTCAAACAAATTGTTTCTTGAAAAAACACTTCCGCCCTAATTTTCTAAGCACTCCTTAACATACTTTTACTTCCACCAAAAATGTCTAAAATGCATCCTGATATATAGTTTATTGCGGGTATAATTTGTTTTTGAAGTATTTTAGACATTTTAAGTAGAGTAAAGTATTTTATGGAGTGCGCAGAAAAATTAGGACGAAAGTGTTTTCAAGAACGGAGGGATTTCATATAAATTGAAGAGGAAATTAAAGGAGAATGGCAATCTTTTTGGTCTTGATTTTCATATAAATTGAAGATGAAAAAGTATGGTATTTGACCTGAGAGGTGATTATTTTCCAAATCCAAGACAATCAACCTTGAGAGATTCCCAAAAGAAGCAGGAATCTTCCCTTCCAAATCATTTCCACCCAACATCAAAATCTCCAGTTTGGTCAGATTCCCCAGACCAGAAGGAACCACTCCCGAGAACCCATTGTTGCTCAGAGACAAGTTCCGGAGCTGCGGGAAGGCGGCGAGCCACGGCGGGATTTCGCCGCGAAAGCGGTTGTTTCCCAAGTTGAGATGCTTCAACCGGCGCAACCGAGCCAACTCGGCGGGTATCGTGCCACCGAAGCGGTTGGAGCGGAGGTCGAGGCGGGCGAGGAAGGACAGGTTCCCCAAGTGGGGCTGGAGGGTACCCGTGAGGTTCATCTGGGGCAAGTTGAGGGCAGTGACCCTTTGGTGCTTGGAGCCACAGGTTACCCCAACCCAGTGGCATGGGGAGGTGGTTTGGGACCAGTTGGCTGCCAAGAGGCTTGTAGGGTCTTGGGTGATGTGGGCTTTTAGAGCAAGAAGGGCAATTTGGTCTGTGGTGATGTTTTTGTGGGGAATCTTTAGGGGAGTTGCCCTTAAGAAGGGCAATAGAATCACTGCCATTAGAGGCAGCAGCCCTGAGAAGTCTGGTTTTCTCATCAGGAGTTTTGTTAGTCTTTTTTTTGTTTTGTTGAAAGTAAGGTTAGTTCACTTAGTTGTGTTGGAAATGGGGGTACTTGTAGTGATGTAATTATTGTACGGAGTATATTTCTTTCTTTTGAGCAATTCTTGTTGCATTTATCCTAAGACAGTTGGGTAGGCACTAGGCATTGATTGTGGGACATAGATATAAGTTTCCTACCTCCTAAAAACAAATTTTAATTTTATATCACCAACATTTAAAAATTTAATTCTATTTAAATTGATGATTCTTATTTCTTTAACTCTCCGGATAATCCCCTTTTCCCGACTCATTCCTAATGAACTCGTGCACGTTGCAACCATTCCAATTATATCCTCCAAAAATTTTTAAGAATAAAAAATTTGACATCGAAAACAACAAAATTTGAGGGGTGTAATTAAAGTAATGTGAGGGTGCATTAGGGACAATCTGTGTCATTTTTGAAAAGTTTAGGAGTAAATGACGCAAAAAATTCATTTATTTTAAAAAAAATGAAACAACATAACTTAAAGAAAAAATTATCTAGAATAATCACAATTTTATCCGTTCTTTCGAAAATAATCTCATTGTTCAATGTGATGCATAATAATCTCATCTTCACTGAAATTTGTAAGTTTTGGGTTGCTATTAAGCTATTAATGGCTAGTTAATAGAAATGGTCTGTTTTGCGTAACAAAAGAAACATTAGGATTATTTATGATAAATTTTGATTTTTTAAATTTTTTTTGAAATTTTCTCTTTAATTTTTATAATGACTTTTGACTGCTATCATTTTTTAAAGATTAGTCTTACCTCGAAAAAACAATAAAGATATATATATATATATAAAATAACAAAAATAAGAAAAATTACTAAAATCATACAAATACAATGAAATAAATAAAGCAATCAATAAAAACTAACCTCAAACTGACATCTTCTATCTAATATTTTACGCACAATACAGAGTATCAATATGAAAATAAATATAATAATAAAAATATAAAATTGTTTTCTTATTAAAATCCTAAAAAAATATTATTAAAAATAATTAAAATGAAATTTTGTTCAAGGAAATAATTTTTTTTGTTTACTACTCCGGGCTACACCATCGCCATCCCAATCGATATACGGAGTATTTAATTTTCAACCATCTCTTCAAGACTGACTCATTCATGTGTATTGGTCAAATAATGTTTGTGTTTGACCACTTCTCGAGCTTCTTCATTCTTACTCCGTACAAGCTACTTTCCATGCATTCTGATTTTTTATTAAATAATAATACTCTTTTACCATAAACTAAACATAATATAAATAAAACAATTATATTAAAATTTGATATATCAAAATTATATCTTAAAATAAACACAATTATATGAAATTTATATTATAATTTAATATATTTTTCTCTCAATTTCTAGTAAAAAAGTATTACTCTTTGACCAAAACTATATCTGGAGGGAGTACAATTCTTCCCTGGGGCTGGGGCACAACTCAATTCACAAAAAACATTTGGGGTGAAATTCTCGGGTTTGTTGGTGATCTACATTGAGATTATTTCTTTAGATTCGGTCTTTTGCATAGAGAGACACATCTCGCCATTTAACTCTTCTACTATCCCTAATGGCATGAGGTTGATTTTTAAACTGCGAGAATGGCTTAAATAAACATAAATACCTTTACTTTTCTTAAATCTAACTTAACAGAGTCCAACTACCTTTTACCCCTTACTAATTATGACACTTTCCAAGCTCTGCTCACTTCAATTTTCATAATTTTACCTTGGTCAAACAATATAGCTTCCTCTGTCAAAACTCAACATTTAATGTTGTGCGAGACGGAAGAAATTTATTATATGCTCCAGTCTTGGTCTAATCTTTTTCAGTCCAAGCCTCAAAAAAAAAATAATCCAATATATCTAGAAAATAAGAGTGACATATTTTTATCTTTAAAGAGTTTGCGCTGTAATGATATAACACTGTATATTAACATTCCACAGTATTTTTTGGTATAATATGTTGACATTTTTGATTTTGTTATTTCCATTTTAGTAATAAAAACATAAAAACTAAATTTTATTTTGATATTTTTTCTATCTTAGTGACCGCAAAGGAATGTGTAGAGGATCCAAAGGGTGTTGGGTAGTCTCACAAAGCGATCAACACAGTAAAAAGGTTAACGGGAAGGGCAAACGAGTCACCAACTGATGTTCATGTTTCTCCTCTTCTACTTCATTTAGCTTGTCACCAAATGTGCTTATGAATTACTCGTACTCCATGGGGAATATTAAAAGCGGATGATCAATTCTCGACACTCCCAAACAAGATGGACAATTAAATCCAAATAGGGAGTAGAAACTAAAAAGTACTCTAATTAAGACCTTATTTGAAAATATGTCGATTAACGTTACCGTTTTGAATAATATTTTAATGATGTAAATTAATTTTAAAAATATAATATACTCATTTGCAAACATTAATCTCTAATACTGATGTCAAATGAGCCTTTAATCAATAATCTTGATTTTTCTAATATGCTCGTAAAGGTTCTTTTTTTTGGTGTGATAAGGATCCATTGGTTAATTGTTTGGGTCACACCCGAACCCTTCTTGCAAATTTTGAAACACGTTCGGGCTTCAAATCAGATAAACAAATTAAATGATATGAGTTTTGAATATGAGACGAATTTGTTTGGAGAGATTTAAAATTATTATTTATTTAGTAATAAGCGAGGGTGACTGGCAACGGGAGTGGTTGACGGTGACAATGGTAGGCGGTGATGGAGAATGGTCAATAGTTGAGATAGATATTAAACCTCCACATTGACATCTCCCAAATTCGGAGATCGAAACTCTCCATTTAAAGGATTTATGATATCTGGAAATATCGAATTCCATATTTTTTTTTTTGCTTCACCAAACACCCAAAAAGAATTATAATATCTGGAGATATCAAAGCTCACCTCTTGTTTGCTCACCAAAGACACTCTATTCCCATACCTGAAAGATACTCCATACCAGTATGACAAGCATGATCAAGCAATATTACTCATTTTACATAAATGGATCAACAAGCATATATTGATACCTTTCACCAATATCCAAGGTAGAAAAGAGACACCCAAGAGGTAGAAAAGAGACTGGTTCAATTAGCACGGTTGCGGAGCACCTCAAGATCGAGCTCGGAACGATCAGTGGCCTGTAACTCATAGTGCACGCCGTCAAGCTCTCTCCTGAATCTGTCCTTGGATGTCGTATATAGCATCTTAGAACGGATCCTCGACCCTGTGGGGGACCTGAAAAAGGGCACATTAAACTCCCCTTTTATTCTTCTTTTCTATGAAGCCTTGTGCGGTAAATGTAGCAATGCATCAAGGGTCTAACATAAACAGTCTATTTGTTTTTTGTTTTTTTAACCCAATTGAAGTTAGGATTATACTGGGTTTTCTTGTTGTTGTTGTTGTTGTTGTTTTTGTACTTGAGAAATTTCATCCTATACAGTTTTAAAAACCATTGTCTTTACTGTGTCTATGCTTCTGCGTTTGAGTCGGGGGTTTCTGGAAAACAGTCTCTCCACTTCCTAAGTAGGAGTAAGGTGGGCGTACAACCTAAATGAGAAACACTACCCCTCTTTGGCTCACAATAATTGTCGTTTCGGGGGAATTACTTCCCACATTAATTCTATTTTGACAATTTTGCCCGACTCTAAGACCTCGTACAATCTTTAACCATTTCATAACTACTCAATATGCATGGTTTCTTCCGAAGCTACGCTTATGTTACCCGGAGGAACTATGATGCATTGAGATGAGTATTTTAGTCATACCATAGCACTTGCCTTTATTTTGATTCAATAAAAGAAATACGGAGTATAGTGTTAGTGCGATGCCCGGTAACTGAAACAGAACTCACCATGCAATGAAGAAAATTTTGCTCTTTTGGCAGTTCTCTGAGGTAACAAAATCAAAGTCATAGACAGCATATCGGCATTCTCGGGCAACGAGGCAGTAAAATCCTCATAGCTCTCAGCAGGAACTCCAGTTTTTTCAACAACAACTTCCTTCTTTCTCTCATCTATCTTGAAAACCACATAACGATAAACTTTCTTTCTTTGCAGTTCCGCGAACGTGTTTTTGCTGTGTTCGGCAACCCCCATGCCAGAGGATGCATTTGCCTAACCAGCACAACCAACAACAATAACAACAACAAACCCAGTAAAAATCCCACAAAAAAAAGTATGGGTCTAGGGAGGGTGTGTGTGCACAAACCTTACAGGCACGGCCAATTGGCAAAAACTAAATTTACTCAAAGTAAAACAACAGTTTTCATGAATACTACCTTTTGAAGTTTATTTGTGGGTTCAATTAAACCTATTTTTGGCAAATTACAGGAAAATTAATTTCAATAATCCCAAGAATCTGTTATTTCATTCTTCACTTAATCACACCCCAACACCTAACCAAACACCCTGGTAAAACAAAACAGTAAAAACAAGGTAAACAACAAAGATGTCAAATTCCAATCCAATTTCTCAGAAATTCAGTATCACAGAGAAAGCAAATCTGAAGAAGAAAGAAATTCATGACTGGTTTCTCATTGCAAAAAAGAAAAGAAAGAAAAAGTCAACCCATCTTCAAGCTAAACGAAAAATACTGCAACCAAATACCCAAATATATGTTGATGTGAACAGCTAAATACAATATCAGTCCATTACAGTCAACCCATCTTCAGTTGCGGAATCAAAACTCGGTCAGCAAAATATTGGAAAAGGAGAAGTTATTCAGATCTGAAAACACAGAAATGCTTAAAAATAGTTTGAAGAACAATTACCCCTCTCAGAGACATGACTCTTGATCGAGTTGCAGAATCACAGATGAGCCAATCAGGAGACAAAATGAAGACCCTCCGTAATAAATCAATAATGGTGTGTTTGGTTGGAGCCTGAGAGGAGAAGGGAAAGTTTTCAATGAACTTATTGAAAAATGCTAGGGGTACACCAAAGGTGTATCCCAAATATCCTCCAACTCCTCCTTGTCCACTAAAAAGAGCAAAAAAATTCAAAAAAAAATAAATAAATAAAAATCAAATAAAAATGTGTGGATGAAAAGAGGGTGGTGTACATTTGGGGTACACCTTTTGGTGTACCCCTAGCAATACTCGAACTTATTTGATCACACGAGTGTCATTTAAAAATGGGATATGCTAGGGGTACACCAAAGGTGTACCCCAAATGTACATCACTTGCGTCTACACTATTCATTTTATTTTCTTTTTATTTTTTACTTTTTTTTGAAATTTTCTTGCCTTTTTGTGTGGTGATGGAGGGGGTGGGGGATGTTTGAGGTACACTTTTGGTGTACCCCTAGCATTTTCCTTTAAAAATACATTGACCATTGATTTTTTGTTTTTTCCTGCAAGAAATAAAACTTAAATAGAAGAGCAATGCTAGGGGTACGCCAAATGTGTACCCCAAATGTAAACCACCCCCTTTTCTACCACTCATTTTTATTTTATTTTTATGTATTTATTTATTTTTTGATTTTCTTGCCCATCCAATTATGTGGGTAAGGAGGGGGTGGGGAACAAATGGGGTACACCTTTGGTGTACCCCTAACATTTTTCTAAAGAGCAATGCTAGGGGTACATCTTTGGTGTACCCCATTTGTCCCCCATCCCCTTTTCCACTACTCATTTTTAATTACTTTTTATTTATTTAATTTTTTTTAAAATTCTTGCCCATTTATATGGTAATGGAGGGGGTGGGGGACAAATGGGGTGCACCTTTGGTGTACCCCTAGCATTTTTCTTTTTTAAATACTAGAAACTCGGAAGGAAATCTCCCGCCTAGAGAGTTAATAGTGTCAAACATAAGGAATCTAAGAGATTAAGGGAATGTTTGGCAATATCATCAGACATTAGTGTTAAATATATATAATATATTTAATATTATTGTATTATTATTGTTACAATATTTGTATAGGTTTCCTAGATTGTCGCTCCTACCTTAATTAGGATTGAGACTTTTGTATATATACATGTACTCTCCTCACAATTTAATCAATGAAAATAATTCTTCTTCATGGTATCAGAGCCCAACCAAAAACTCTAATTCTCCCTCTCTGACTTTCGGCCTCCCTCCTCCCTCGCCGAGACACCAGCGCCGCTGCCACTCTCCCTCTCTCTAGCACGGCCGGCCACCCCTCCTCTCTCTACCATGGCCGAAAGCGAGATTACCTCTCAATCTACCACCCAAAAATCTCCACATCTGGCTTTCTCTGTTTCTAATGTCAAATTACATGTCCCTATTCAACTCAGTTTTTCTCAACCAAATTACAAGAAGTGGAGCCGCTTATTCCTCCTCCTTGCCCGGCGGTTCACCCTCCACGGCTACCTTGACGGGTCTATTGTCCCTACCTCAAAAGATAATGATGAATGGTACCAACTTGACGCCATTCTCCAAGGATGGATTCTTTCCACTATTACTGATGAAGTCTCTGATCTGGTTCTGATCTCCGCCTCCTCTGCCTCTGCTCTCTGGAAGATGATTCATAATCTGTTTCACGACAACAAGCATGCTCGCGCCATGCAGCTCGAGCACCAATTCCGTACCACAGTCAAGGGATCCACCCCCATGGCCTCTTATTGTCAAGAACTCCGGAATATTGCGGATTGGCTGGACGACGTCGACGCCCCCGTTTCAGAGCACCAATTGATTCTTCAGATGTTACGCGGCCTCCCCGAAGATCTCCAAGCTCAAACCTCGTTCCTCCAATTTCAAGATCCCATGCCAAGTTTTCTCCAGGTCCGGTCGGCCCTCCTCCTCCTTGACCGACAACGGACCCCCATGGGCAGCACCATCAGCACGGCGCTGCTGGCGGGGCATGGTGGCAGCAGCTACGCAGGCGGACAGCACGACGCGACTGGCGGGCGCGGCTCTCCTCACGACAGCAACTCCGGCGGTGGGGGACAATTAATTGGCAGCAACTATGGTGATGGTTCCTCCTCCGGGCAGCGTGGTGGCTTTGGACGCGGACAAGGGCGCGGCAACGGCAACCGGGGTCGTGGTCGAGGGCGCCAAAACAGCGGTTCGAGGCAGCGACCACCCACAGACGGGTACAATTTCTGGAACTCACCGTACCCAAACCCTAATCCCGGGGTGTTGGGCCCCCGGCCCACCCCCGCACCCTACCTATCATGCCCATGCCCATTATACAACCACCACACACCCCAACCCGTCACCCTACCCGCCCACCTCCCCCTACCCATCACCCTACCCGTCACCCTACCCCCCAGCCTTACGGCAGCCCCACAAACCCCTCAACCCGCAACCTACCCGCCCCCCTACCCACCCACACCCACAGCCCTAGCCCA